TCCAGCAGACCTGATGGTGCTTGAGGTATCAGTGGCAGATAAAGATGCTGTTTGGAGTCTCTGGCAGGCCCCCATAGGGGAATTACAGCAGAGGCCATTGGGATTTTGGAGTAAGGCTTTGCCTTCACCTGTGGACAACTATTCTCCCTTTGAGAGACAGCTCTTAGCCTGCTTTTGGGCCTTAGTGGAAACTGAACATTTGACAATGGGCTCCCAAGTCACCAAGGGACTGGAGTTGCCCATCATGAGCTGGGTGTTATCTGACCCCCCCAAGCCATAAAGCAGGCCATGCACTGCAACAATCCATTATCAAATGGAAGTGGTATATGCATGATTGGGCTCTAGCAGGCCTGGAGGTCATAAGCAAGTTACATGAAGAAGTTGCCCAAATGCCTATGGTTCCTACTCCTGTTACAATGCCTCCTGTTCTCAATCATGTACCTATGGCTTCATGGGGTGTGCCCTATGATGGGTTGACTGAGGAAGAGAAAACTAGGGCTTGGTTTACAGATGGTTCTGCATGTTATGCAGGCACTACTCAGAATGCCCAGCTGCAGCATAACGGCCAATTTCTGGAACAACCCTGAAGGAAACTGGGGAAGGTAAGTCTTCACAGTGGACAGAGTTTTGGGCAATGCACATGGTCGTGCATATTACTTGGAAGGAGAAATGGCCAGAAGTGAGATTATATACTGATTCATGGGCTGTAGCCAATGGTTTGGCTGGATGGTCAAGGAATTTGAAAAAGCATGATTGGAAAATTGGTGAGAAAGACATTTGGGGAAGAAGTAGATGGATAGATCACTCCAAATGGGCAAATGATGTGAACATACTTGTAGCTCAGGCAAATGATAATCAAATTGAGTGCCAGATTTGCCAACAGTGGAGACCAACACTGAGCCCCCATAAGGCACTGTTCCCCATGGCGACCAGCCTGCAACCTGGTGGCAGGTTGACTACATTGGACCACTTCCATCTTGGAGGGGACAGTGTTTTGTCCTTACAGGAATAGACACTTATTCTGGTTATGGATTTGCCTTTCCTGCACATAATGCTTCTGCCAAAACTACCAACCAGGGACGTACAGAACGCCTTATCCACCACCATGGTATTCCACACAGCATTGCTTCTGACCAGGGAACTCACTTCACGGCCAAAGAAGTGTGACAGTCATGGAATCCACTGGTCTTACCATGTTCCCCACCATCCTCACGTAGCTGGCTTGATAGAACAATGGAATGGTCTCTTAAAGACACAGTTACAGTGACAATTGGGTACCAATAGCCTGGAGGGCTGGGGCAGGGTCCTCCAGAAGGCAGTGTATGCTTTGAATCAGCATCCAATATATGGCACAGTTTCTCCTATAGCTAGGATTCACGGGTCCAGGAATCAAGGGGTGGAAGTGAGAATGATTCCACTCACTATCACCCCTGATGACCCACTAGGAAAATTTTTGCTTCCTGTCCCCTCGACTTTGTACTCTGGCTTGGATGTTTTGGTTCCAGAAGAGGGAGTGCTTCTGCCAGGAGAGACAACAAACATTCCATTGAACTGGAAGCTAAGACTTCCCCTGGACACTTTGGGCTTCTGATGCCCTTAAGTCAGCAGGCTAAGAAAGGAATAGCAGTATTAGGAGGGGCGATTTACCCAGACTACCAGGGGGAAATTGCACTGGTTCTCTACAATGGAGGTAATAAAGATTATATCTGGAAGGCAGGAGATTCCTTAGGGCAACTTTTGGTGTTACCATGTCCTTTGATTAAGGTCAATGGGAAACTGCAACAACCCAATCCAGACAGACCCTTCTGGGATGAAAGTATGGGTCACTCCTCCAGGGAAAGTGCCAAGACCTGCAGAGGTGCTTGCTCATGGTGGAGGACATACAGAATGAGTAGTAGAGGAAGGTAGTTACAAATACCAATTTAGGCCACATGACCAATTGTAGAAATGTGGATTGTAATTGACATGAGTATTCGTGTCCTATTTGGTTAAGAATAGGCTTGTGCATGTATACACATATGTTAAGCAGATACTTGAGTTATTCTTTTTTTGAATGTGTAACTGAGATTAGTGTTAAGTGGTTAAGTATTGTGAACCTATATCATTATATTGGGTTATGAGACACTAAAGGACTAAGCATTCCTCGAAGACCTTATCACCTACTCTAAGATATATAATGCTTTGGTCATTGTATGATGGGATAGTTATATCATGTTAGGTGAAATTATGACCTCAACATTGTTTTCATTTGAAAATTAAGCATGACATAGATGCTATTGGGTGTCAAGTTGACAAGGGGTGGACTTGTGATGGCTAATCCTGGGTGTCAACTTGACCGGATCTGGGATTAACTGAAATGAGAGAGATCTTGATTGGATCATCTGAAGCTGGAAGACACACCCTAAATATGGGTGTTACCTTCTGATGGCAGCTGGTATAAAAGACCAAGGCAGAGGAGAATGCCAGGCTTCTTGCTGCTTGCCTTCTCTCTCGCTGGTGAGTTCACCTTGCTACTGTAGACTGAAGACTAGCTGATCTTTTGGAATTCATCAGACCTTCAGTGCCAGATTGGGACTACCAAGACTTCCAGCCTTGTGGACTGAGCAGCTACGGATTCTCAGCCTCTCCAGTGTGGTGCAGCCATCATTGGACTACTCAGACTCTATCCTGTGAGCTAAGCTGATAAATCTCTATACATATATATTCATGCTATTGATTTTGTTTCTTTGGAGACCCCTAATACACACTCTAAACCATTGAATCATCTCTCTAGCCACATACTGTTATGATTTTTATATCCAAAAATCATAACCATGTAAGAATGAATCTTTAAAGCTTAGTGCTTAGTTTCTCAGACCTGAGTTAGTTTCAGCCAGAGCAAATTTCAGCCACAAGTTTGAGTCCATGAAGACCTCTTTGGCTTGTCCTACACGCTTGCTACATGTTGCCTGGCCTCTGCAGCTTTCCCAAACCTTGGTGAAAGCCTCATGACCCCCTCCCTCACTCCTAGATCCTGCAGGCCTGCAAAACAGGATCCAATTTTACATGTGATGTAAAATCTGCTGCCAGCTCAAGATGTAGCCTGGTCCTCTTGGGCCACAGCTGCAGCATTCTGTGTGTGGCTTCACAGCTGAATCTGGCAAAGCATTTCCCTAGATGGCTTTGCTAGAGCGGGATGCTCTGAAGGCTCCATCTTCTCAAGCTCTCTCTTTTCAGGCACTATCCTTTTAACTGAATTTGAAAGGTTTTTTTGTTTTGTTTTTTTAATGCCATGGAGTTCTGACTGCAGTCTTACCCTCAAGGGATCATTCTTATTGCCCCAGCAACAAATGTAAGGTATCTCTTTAACGATGCCAGACTATTTAGTAATTACAGCCATTTTGTCTACACCCACCCCATCAGCTCTGTCCTTAATATTAGGCACATCCATATCCCTTTCCTCACCAAACTCCACATCTGTCACATTTTTGGCTCTACTTTCTGCTTTGAATTTTCACAATAAACCTCATTAAGCACAGTGGGCAGTAACTGTGCCACTGCCTGAATTTATGCTATTTTGAAAGTTCCTCTGCCAAAGCAATTAGTCCATTACTTTTGAATTCAGTCTCAATCAAATGTTTAGGACCTGGGCAGAATGCAAGATTCTTTGCCAGAACGTAACATCTATCAGCCCAATTCCTGAAAGAATCCTTGTTCCCCCCTCAAGTCTCATAGACCCACCTTTACTCCATATTTCTATAGGCATTCTGGTACCTGAGGCTGCTTTTCACGTCTAGGTGGATCAGTAACCAGAGAGAGACAGAGCTAGAAACAGGGCCTTGCTTTTGCTATAACCCTCAAACCACTCCCTATCTCCATCCAGTGACCCACTTCCTCCAGCTTGGCCCCAGCTCCTAAAGGCTCCACGGGCTCCTGAAATGGGACCAACATCCTGGGACCAAGTATCCAAACACATGAGCCTGTGGGCAACACTTCACATTTAAACTCTACCACCACCCAAACCTGCTCTTTCCTGGTGTTCTCTGTTTTAGCAGGAGGTACTACCATTCATCCATTTGCTCAGGGAAAACAAGACTTAGCATCAATATTTTCTTCTGTTTTTAATCCCATATTCTAATGAGCAAGCAACCCTGTAGCTCTACTTTAGACTCTATCTGAAGCACCTTCTGTACCACCTGTACTGTTGCCACACAAGTCTGTTTTGTAAAATTTATAGTCTTCAACTATGTATGCAACAAAGACCTTTTCATTACTGCAGATGTGTTGAAGCTTAAGTGTCTGAAAGTGCACACCAATTCACCTTAAGCCCCTTCTTGGAAGGAAGATGATACCAACACCAGCGCGAGAACTGAAGGACACAATAGTTTCGTCTGTAGAAGTCGAATTTTTATTTCAGTACAAATGTTTATACTTATGGACTCCCTTTTTTTCATGATAGGATTATTTACATAATTTTTAAAATATTTATTATTTTTATTTTATGTGTATGAGTGTATTGCCTGCATGTATGTGAGTGCACCCACGTCATGCAATGCCATGGAGATCAGAAGAGGGCTTTGGGCTTTGGATTCCCCTGGAAGTGGAGTTAAGGATGGTTTGTAGCCACCATGTAAGTGCTGGGAATTGAACCCAAGTCCTCTGCAAGAGCAGTCAGTGCTTTTAACTGCTGAGCCATCTCTCCAGCCCATTTACATAATTTTTAAAAATTACTTTGTGTGTGGGGGGGGTGGAGGTTACAGGAGAACTTGCTTGAGCTTCTCTCCTATCATGTGGGTTCTGGGGAAAGAACTCAGGCTTGGCAGCAAGCACCATTACCACTGAGTCATCTCTCAGGCCCAATAAGCACTATTTTGTTTTAAAGAAGGGTCTCCCTGTAGCCCCAGCTGGTCTGGAACTTGCTATGTAGACCAGGCTGGACTCGATCTCACACATAGCTACCTGTCTCTGCCTCCTGAGTACTGGGATTAAAGGCATGCACCAACACACCTGACAACAGGGACTATTTTTATAAGAAAGTTTTATTTTTTTGTTGTCTCATGGCACTTGGGACTGAACTCAGGACATTGTGCAAGCTAGACAAATGCTTTATCACTGAACTATAGCCTCAGCCCTGGATAGGTACTGTTTTTACTTATTTATTT